ATATCTTCTAATAAAAAACAAAAATTACTATAGGCTGTCTTAAATTAAGTACTGCACATCACATAATATTATTAGTATATATATATATATATATATATATATATATATATATGTAATGCACCTTCTATTCATGTTGTGATAATGAACTTATTATAATATCATGCTTTAATCTGTAACCTTATCAAAAACAAAACATAATAATCAAAGCAGTAGGAATGGCTAAAAGCTTTTGTTTTGTGTGGTTACAGTGAATACACACTATTCTCTTAACTGTTTTTAAGGATGTTACAAATAGTAAGTTAGTCTCATTGTAACAATAATAGTTACTTGTTTTTTTTGCGGGTGAGATTCCATTCATATTATGATAATACTATGCATTGTACAAACATTGTGTATAAGTGCAAATGACATTTAAACTTTTAAATTTACCAAGTTTTGATTTACAAAATTTTTTTGGCTATTAATTTCTGAAGCTGTTATTAGAGCCTAGCAGTTGAAGTGAATTTCTTATTATAATTCTAAATGTATTTTAGCAGCAGACCAAGCTGTATTGTCTCCTGAACAAGATGAAGGAGAAAAAGCAGAACTACCTTTATCAGCAGCGAGTCAGAGGCTTTTATCTTTAGAAAAGCAGCTTAAGATTGAACAGAAGGTATGTTACACAAAACAGTTTAAAACCTAATAAGTATTTTGTTTTATAATCATTATCAAAAAGATGCTAAAAATGGATATGCTATAAATTGATTCGTCTTATTTTACCATGACCCTGTAGACATAAGCTTTAGGATGTTCAAATTTATATATGTAACAAGTTCTTATTTGAAGTGAATAAAGATAGTTTCCAATTGTGAAGGTTTCTACAATCCAAGTAAGGAATACATTTTTAACAAAATCTGCATATTTGACTTCCTTTTGAATTGTATTTACAATAAATCAGTAAGTGCTCCACTTTACATTTTTCAGAAGTATTGCAAGCATGGATAAAAACATTTCTTTAGTGAAACCATCGGTGACATGGACAGTCATAAAATTCTTTGCTAACATGTGAAAAAAATTGCTTTATATTTAAGGTCAAACAAGGGGCAGAGAATATGATACATATGTATAGCTCTGGGTCATCCAAAGATAGAAAACTTCTGGCAGAAGCTCAGCAGATGCTGGCTGATTCTAAAGCCAAGATTGAGTACATTCGCTTGATGGTGATGAAAGTAAAACAGATGGAGGATGAAGCTCAAGAATGTGACTCATCTAATACTGACCCAGGAGGTAATGTTCTTCTATTTTGGTTGCATAGAAATATAAAACCAGTTGTATATAATTGGTGTTTTTGAGGTGGGATAGTTTAATGAAGTAGTCTTACATTTGTAAAATAAAATTTTTCACAGTGCTTTAAATGAGGGATGACAAATAATATATACGTATGTAGAAGTACTTGAGATATCTTAAGGATAATTTGAAAAATGCTCTACAATATTTTATGCCAGCCAATCAAAATTGTTATTATTTTAAAACAGTTATTATTGTGTAATAATTTCATAGTATTGTCATTTTCTTGATTCAGAGTGAACACTGAAGTTTAAAATATTTGAAGATATTTAAATTGTTTTGCTTCACCCACCATGAGATATTGTTGGTCACCTAATCACACAAAATATATGTTTTAATACAACTATAGTATAGTATGCACTATGCTACATCATTTTAACAATATTGATTTCCACACGCATAAAAATTTATATGTATATTTCATTATAGCACGATTTCACCTTTAACTGATCAAGTGAAGAAAATAATAGAATGTTTTTGGGAATGGAAATATGCCATTCATGATAGTAACCATATGGATTAAAATCTGAGTGATCACAAGTTTTCTAAATTTATTGTATTCCTTTTTCACATTTTTTTAAAAGTACTGCCAGCTTTATTTAAATAGCACATAATGCACTTAACAATAATGTAAATTTTTGAAAAGTAAGCTGTGAGGAAGTTATTGTAATGATTTTCATAATGTAAAGAGTAACCTGCAATACGTTGTATATAATAATTCAAATCAACATTATGTGTAAGTGATAATGAACTTTTAATTTAGGTTTTGAAAGTTACATATAACATAGAGAATTGGTTAGAATAAGGGAGAATTTATAAGTTCCAGAAGTTTAAATCTTTGGGTTTTGGAACTTTTATTGGTGAAAAGGAGAAGAAAATGCAGATTAAATTAAAACTTTTGAAAAATTATACTTCTCAAAACTTTCTAAATTGCTTAGACTGCAATAAAAGCTGATATACAAAAAAATTATCTTTCAGTATTATATTGATATACATCATTTGTGTGGGAAATCTGCATTTGTAAAAAATAATCATTAATATTTTGATATATTGATTCAGTATTCAGTATTTTTTAGTTTTCTGATTTTATTGACATAATACACATTTTGGGCTTTACTCTTAGCTTCAGTGAAGCTATATTTAAGGTTAATTACACTTTATAATGATAATGATCCAGGTCTTGTGAAACTCCAAGAACAATTTTCTCCATTGTCTGTTATGCTCAATCTGATGACCATTATTATTATTATGCACTATTGTTGAACATCCCAGTTTCCATTGTAACAAGCTTTTACAAAGAACAGCAAGGTCAGACCATACATTCTGACAGACTTTACCCAGTCCCTTCTCTGTACTTGAGCATTAGATTCCAAAACTGTATTTAGGAAGACCAATGACACAAAAGTCCATTAGCCATTGATTGCCTTGAGGTATAGTTATGAAGTCCATTATTTTCACAAACACGGTCTAAATTTTTCTGCTTCCATAGAAAACATTGAAGGCTTCCTTAGAAATTCCTCTGACAAAGTTCTCATACCAGAAGTCTACCATGATAACATTACAATGTCAAATGGTTGCTAATTTGCTGGCTCACTTCTGTAGCAATACACTATTTCATTAGCAGAAAAAAATTTCTGTATAAAGAGCAGATAACCTTTTTTAATAATCTGAATTAAGCATATAAAAGATCTCCATGAACCAAATATATAAATGCTAAATTTGTCGTTATGGCACTATGGCTTGCATCTTTAGTGGTATTAGGTTTTCAAGAAATTAATGTTGTGTTAAGGAACACTTTCGTAACCCCCCCCCCCAAAAATGTACATCAATGCACTCATGAAATGGCCCTGAAATTGCATATCTCTCGTGAAACAATATGTAAACATCTAAGGAATATGGGAAAACTCCATAAAGAAAATGTTTGGATGCCTCACAAACTCTGATGGTCATCGTTTCCAATGTGTGAACGTTGCTTCATCTCTTCTGGAGCGTGAACCATTTTTGGATAGAATTATCACCGGTGATGAAAAATGGATTCCTATGCGAATATTAAATGCCAAAAACAATGAATCAGTCCTAGACAAAAACCACTTCCGATTCCCAAACATCAGAAAGTGATGCTTTGGATTTGGTGGGACATCAAAGGAGTAATTCATTTCAAACGCTTCAATCCACACTGAACTGTCAATTCTTAGATCTACAGTCAGCAACCAGAATGTTTAATCAAGCCCTTCATCAGAAACACCTTCATTTATCAATCAGAAAGGTGTTTTTCTTCTCCACAACAATGCAACGTCCACACATGGCATGTTTGACACAACACAAGGTTATGGAATTGGGTTGGGAAGTTCTCCCCCACCCACCATATTCTCCAGACATGGCACCATCAGATTACCATCTTTTTCTTTTGTTGCAACACCATCTTAATGGGAAAATGTATGCAATGTAGAAGGTGTTAAAGAGGACATCG